ACGAGCTCCGAGCCAGCTCCCATGTCAGAGGACGAAGAGAGCACATCCAGCCAGTCACACCCAGAGAAACAGGACTACACTGAAATAAATGTAAGCAGTTACTACCCACCTCTGCTTAATAGAAGAATTGGATTTGTAATGTAATTTTTATTTTTTCAATGGAGATTGAAGCTATTCAGAATCAAACAAATATTCCAAATTGGTCTAAAACTGTGTTTTTTTATTTTTTATTTTGTCTCCTTAATGTCAGACACAGACTTGGTTTATAAAAACAGATTTCTTAAGGGCATTAATAATTTCAGGCTCAACTCTGGTTCAACTCTAGCTTGGGTATAGCAGCTCTGCTCTTAATGTTCAGCGTCACCTTTATCAGCTGTTAACAGGAGCTCTCTGGGATCTAATCTTTAGCTCACCCGTCCATTCGGCAGCTTGCAGCTCTCAAGAGCATTCTCGATTCTCTTTCTGTCCGATGAAAACAGGCGACCGATACTGCAAGAGGAAAAGACACGCCATCATTTAGAAACACTAACTACACAATCATAATATGCTGGTGAAGATTCTCGGTCATCCAGGTCACAGTCATTCCAAAAAGGTTAAAACTATCCACTGGAATTTGTTTCCAAGTTAGAAGGCATATTGTTTTCTCATCCAGGAAGGTTTTTCAATTCAAAATGTCAGAAATAGCATGGATTCAAGGTTTTATACATGAGCCCAACAAAGACTTGTTTTGGTTTAGAAAACATGCAAATTGAAACAGGCCAACAGGTCCACCCCTTAGGAATAGAGGTCGTTTAGCTTCATTGTTAGCCCGCAATGCTAAGCCAAATGACCCCCATTCCAAAGGGGTGGACCTTTATGTAAGCCTACGTGATTTAAATCCTCACAGATAAATTATTTCTATCCTTTGAATTCCCAGATCTCTTTGCTTACATAGAAATTCTTCCTCATTCCTTTACTTTTCCTAGACACTAACTGACCTTAATTTGCTTCTAAAGAGCAGCCTTCCTTCATAAATGTCTAATCCACCTCTTACTCTGGTACTGTTTGATTACCAGGTCAGTGCTGAATTAGGCACCTCCATGAATAATGTCCCTGTTTTTACTTCCCCAAGTGCACATGGAATTAGGTTTATTCTTGGAGGCAAGGGACGGATAAGAGCAAAGTTTAGGTTTGTGAGTGTCTCTGCAGATTTTCTCAGGCTATTTCTTCACATCCACAAGCCTCCGTGTCTGAAAGTTGACGTTCAAACAGAGCCACTGTCTGGAATGAGGAATGAAATCATAACACTCTTACTTTTTTACAGGAATCTTTCCTTCTGCATTTGGCTGAAGAGTTAGCTTGACGTATCTGAAACAGAGAGAAAATGACCTGTATTAAAGTTACACAGCTTTCTTCAAATTCTTACTTTTACACTCTTTCACATAAGCTGTTGGGATTTATTTGTAGGACACTCATCAAACCAATCTCCCTGTATGAGTGAACTGTGCTAATAAAGTGACCTGATATGACATATGTTGTGAATTGGCATTATATTAATAAACTGAACTGAATTGAATTAAAACGTTTACCTTGCTCTAGTATTCAGCTTCCCCAACTCGATACCTGCTAGGATCACCGTTCGCTGCAATCACAGCTAAAATTACGAGGTTGCAATTCTGCCAAAGTGCACATGTGTGCATAGTATTGAATACCCATGAAAGGAGCTTTATTTAAAAAAATGTATTCTCCACATGCTTTTTATTCACTAACGATGCACAGGTTCTGGAGTTTGCGAAATGCAAAACTACTAGCTGCCATTATTCTGAATTTTTTTTGCTTTCATTTTTGTTTGTCTTAGTTATGAAAAATATATGCATAAGGTAATTTCTTTGTGTTTATTATTGTTAGGAAACTATTGCTATATAGGTTTTATTTTCCTTCACATTTAATTTCTCACTTGATACTTTTCTATTGCTCTGTATATTTTGGCTCACTCTCTAACATCAGGGTAATTATATTTTTTTCCTCTTGGTTTCTATTTGATTTTTTTCTACTTCAGTTCGTCCTGATTTTATTCATGCAGCTTTCTTTAGACTTGCTGCTTTGCTCTCCTCCACAGCTGCCTAACCCCTGTTTAACTAACCCACAGTGTCATTCTCCACTCTCCCCTCAGTATTCTAACTGACTGGCTTAATGGATGTTTGCTGGTTAGAACCGTTTAGCTGCTTATGGTCCGTGTTACATGATTAAATCCTTGATTTTTTCTACAACTAGTCTAGTCTAGGTCCTTTCCTTAGCGAAAAATATGACAGCTCTCCTATTAACAAACATTGCGTGCAACTGCAGGCTTCTGTGATTAATGCTCGCCTTATTCTGCCTGCAGGCCTGCAGGATGCTGGATTTATTCTGGGATGAAGCCACACAGAGATGGACTTTATTTGGTTTTAAGATCACTTTTGAAATAAATTGATTGCCCTAAATTTATTTACCTTGATAAATAAAATACTTTTTCATCAGCAACAATGGTAACTAAAATAGTTTTTGTAAAAGAAAGACACTGCTGATGCTTTTTAAAACTTGTTTAGGAGTTAAAAAATGCATATTGTGTCAGATTTATTCCGAACTTAAACAGTATAAAACCTTGTTTCTTTTCATTTCACAAGAACACTCTCCTTGGTGTTGATCTAAAATCCTAGGTTTGCTTGCAGTGTAACAACGTGTGGGGAGGTGCAGTGAAGACATTTGTAAGATAAATGCAGGTTTTCAAAAATGCAAAATGTTTCTGTTAATTTAGGTTAAGTTATGGGCAGCAGCCTGTGGGGAATTTAAACACTTACAAAGTCAGCTTCCAACACAAATTGCTGGATGGTGAAAGTACCTAACTTTTAAATTATTAAAGCTGAGGAAAAACAGGGCAAGCTCAAATAAAAAGGAAGTAGATAAAGGACCAAATTCTTTAAAAATAAAGTGGCTGAAATATCTACAGTATAGAGAGTTCTAGTTTATGATTGCAGATTATTTTACCAAGAGATTCTCCTATGTACTGAGATCAGAGGACGATTATTAGATGACTTTGTCATTCCTGTCGTTTTCATGATGCTTTGTGCCTTTTTAAAGGAAAAGTTCGGTCATATTTAGAATTTAAACTTCTGAAACTACTTTAAATTAAAATGAAATTATTACATCCTGTTCAATAAATGATAAGTTTTTAATTCAGAGTAATTTTCATTTGAATGTTCTTTACTGGAGGCATCCATGTATGTCAAAGAACTACTGCCACCTACTGGTTTGTGACGTCACGGTGCGGTATCGGCTGTTGATCAAGTCCCAGTGCTGTTTTTGTTTTGAAAACATGCAAATTGGAACAGACGAAAGGGTCCACCCCTTTCCAAAGGGGTCAAGTTAGGGTCAAAGTATTCATCAAATAGGCCAAGCAAGCGCTATTATCCAAGTCATCTTGAAAACATTCTTCTTCCAAATGTTGGCTATATATTACGTGTTTATTCTCTGGCCAGAAGTTCGATGGCAAATCCTCCCTCTTCAAGTTGGTAATCCAACGATGAACCCGTCCGTGGAGGATCAGGAATCAGAAAGGTGAAATAACTCTCATTTCCCATTGATTTTGCTTGTAAAGTGGGGAGAATGGCGCTAGGCTTACCGCACCGTGGCGTCACTGCCAGAAGATGTCAGGAGGGGGTGTTATTTTGGCAAAAATGGCCGCTCACAGACTCAGTGATCGCGCTGAAAATTATTATTTTTATTATCTTGCTGATTAAAGCTAAATTCATTAAATCACTGTGAACTTATTAGTTTTACGTATAGATAATGATCCATTAATCATTCCTTGCTGACCACTTTTGCTTCAAATATGGACAGTGCTCTTTTATTCAATTCAATTTATTTTATTTATATAGCGCCAATTCACAACACATGTCATCTTAAGGCACTTAAAAGTTCAACCAGTGTTTTGTGAAAACTTTCGAACACTAACC